CCATCGCTCTCGCAGAAAAAACGAGGGGATGGGTCAAAGCCGCACATTTTGCGGCCCCCCCCCCCCCCCTTACAGATCTTGGCAATTTCGTGAAAATAAAAGTTTCTGTTCGAAATTTAGAGATAAAAACTTAACATTTTCTAATAATCGGTTATCTTTAGAAAAGAACTATTATCTTTTGAAGATTTTAAATATTGGGTATTGTGTCATTAGTACAATGAAACCAAAGGAGATATGTGAGTTCCACATTTCAGCCACAAAGGGGCTGCGCTAACAAGCTTTTTTTATGTCTTTCTATAAAATTATTCAATAAGGATTTTTTTTTAATATTAAATTATTTGTTCTTGATTAATTAATATCAATTAGTTATAAATGATTAATAAAACTTATTCTTCTCATAATATGTATAAATACTAGTTTATAAATAATCAGTTGTTATTAGTTCTTATCTATTCTAAAGAATATATTTTTTTGTCAATATTAAAAAACGTTCTTATAAACTTCGAAAAACAATTCGAGTTTCATGCAAAAAAAGGAAAGAGAAAAGATTGAAGAATTCTTAATTATAGGCAACAAAAAATATTTGGTCAATAAAATAGATGATCAGAAATGAAATTTTTAATTCCCTCTCCACAAAATAGAAGCCTACCTCCGAAATCAGTACTGACTGATTTCCATGGATTCTGAATCTATGGGAAATTTGTGAGTATAGTCGCTATCAGCTGCATCCGATATGATTTTATAGACGCAGTTTCACAGAGCGCATTACTAAATCTCGATATTTCGGAACAGGGTGATGTATCCAGGATTTTTCAGTATGCTAAATCTCTATTTCTGAGCATGGGACCCAGAGAAAACTCATGGAAAGTGATGTTAGATCTAAATGATAGAATTTTATCAAAAACAAAATTAGAATTTTTCTGATCTTCTCCTCTAGAATTTATTGCTGTTAGTAGTATCATGGTTTTTAGAATTTCATATGAAGCTACACCGAATTTCATCGATAGATTTCAAATTTCGTCTAAAATTATGCAATCGTTCAAGAGTTATGACGTTTAGAAATTATGTAAAAATTCAAAAAGTTATAATTCTTGAACGATTGCATATTTTTAGATGAAATTCTAAAAATCCTGATACCACTAACAGCAAAAAATTCTAGAAGAGGGGAATCAGGAAAATGCTAAATTTTTTTTTTTGATAAAATTCCATCATTTAGACCCAACATCACTTTCCATGAGTTTCATCTGGATTCCATGCTCGGAAATTGAGATTCAACATACTGAAAAATCTTCGATAGGTCACTGATTCTGTGGGAAGGGAACTGAAAATTTCATTACTGATCATTTATATACTTTTTATTTATCATTAATTTTACTGATTATTTAATCTATTATAAATCAAAATAATATTTAAATATGAACCAATTATAGTTAATCATACCTTCAATAACTCCACCAAGAAAAATTTTTTTTTTCATTTTATTTATTTATTTATTTATTTAACATCTAAAACAGATGTAAACTAGTTGTTATAATGTTTTATATATGAGAGATAAATACAATTTATCTCGAAAGATAAATATAATAGATAAAAACAAAAAAAAACGAGAAATATTATAATTCAAATGAAAATGAAATATTCGTTTGATGAATATTATTCCAAATGTCAATTAAATTTTGAGCACGATATCCTTGAATACAAATTGGTTTTATTGTTGAATTAATATGATTATTAAAATTAAAAAATAATTTCCATTTTGATAAAAATCCATCGTGATTATTTACAACATTATTTGATAATGAAGGGTGTGGGTGTGTGGGTGTGTGGGTGTGGGTGCGTGTGGGTGTGGGGGTGGGTGTGTGGGTGTGGGTGTGTGGGTGTGGGTGGGGTGTGGGTGTGGGCATGTGCTGTGGATGTCGATGTGAGTAATGACACCCACACCCACACCCACACCCACGCCGACACCCACACCCACACCCACACCCACANAGACTAAACGTACATTAACTAATAATTATATTCGTTTTAAAAAGTATACTTTCAATTACAAACAGTACAAGTGAACATTTAATGACAGAATCCCAATCTTTTCTTCGTAGTTTTGTATTATGTATAAACACACGAAACATTTTGATGTATATATGATTCTTAAAGTTGATGGATATGAATAAATGTTCATGTCTACAATAAGTACGTCGATAATCTATCATTTTTCTCTCGTTGTAGAGAAAGTCTTTGTATTTGTAATTTTTCTTCAATAAATCAGTTGTTTCTAACTTATGACCACCGGCAGTAAAATGCTTCACTTCCATTGGATTTTAGTCAGAAACAATCGTTTTCATCATCATTTCCATTTAAGCGTTCACGAAAAGAAAGGTTTTTGCTCATTCGAAATGAAATAGTATTCGATTTTGAAAAATAAATGATACTTTAATTTCTGAAATGTATTTTGCTTGTTTGAAATTCGTGAAGCATATACATTTCTGCTATTAGTACAAGGGTGTGAGTCTGGGTGTCGGTCGATGTTTGTGATTAATGCGCAGCCCCACATCCAAATCCAAACTCGCCCACACCCACACCCACACCCATACCCACACACCCGCACCCACACCCACACCCACACCCACACCCCACACCCACACCCTTGGATACTAGAATATATCCAATATTCGTTTATTTGTGCCGAAAACAACGAAAGCTTATTAGTGTTTGGTTCATTTTATAGTTTGACCATTATGCCACATGTTATTTTAGGTTTCACATGAGAGAAAGGTCAGGTTTCTTCAGAATAAAGTATCATGGAAGAGGGATCGTCTAAGATTACTTACCAGACTAACAGAAAGCAGTACCCGATTGAAATGTTTCCCGGCGAATGATTCTAGTCACTTGTCTGCTGTTCAAATCAATACTACAATGTATGCGATAGAAGAAAAATAGGCACAGTATTCGAAAAGTTCTTCTCGTGTCAATCCTGGTACTTGAAAGAACTAGAGCATAAAATGTGGCCATGTTACGAGAAAATATATGAAAAATAGGTGCTAACCATGCCTGAAAGTTTATATTCCTACAGAAAAGATATGATCTTTCATATCAATTGTACATATTCATGATAAGATTTTGTCATTTTTTAGATAGAAGTCATTTTCGTACACAATACCAACAATTATTTGATCGAAAAACGTCATATTGCTGCGCCATATGGCGTCATTTTTCCAAAACGGATTCCATATGAAAGAGAATGTTAGCAAAAGCAAAACTGTTGGCTTCAAACAAGGTTTGAAAGAACCGCTAAATACTAAAAGTTGTTTCTCCTGAAGTCAACTACAGAGAGAGAGAGAGAGATTAGGAAAGCAGAGGTCAGTAATATTTTATTTCTGACATTTTTACTATTATCATGCAATAAATTTAATCAAATAATAAGCAGCTGAATTGAAAGTGACTATTCAAAGATACAAGAAATGACATGTTTAACTGAAAATCACAACAGCAGACTCGACGATCTTCCAAAAGGTTAAAGTCGCAAAGAGTCAGACAGGTTCCTATGAAGCCTCACGAAGTTCTTCGGAGTCGCATATGAATCAACGTTGATTGTCCAACGATATGATTTTGTTCAATAATAGTTCATCAACAAGTAAACTTTATCCTTGATTACCAGATGAGAGATAATAGTTTTGTATGTTTTTGAAGTCATCGAAAATCTCTACTTTAAATAACTATATGAATAAAATAACACTATACAACGGCTGAAAACAGTTTCCAGAATCATAAACTTTTTTCGTTTCTTATTTTATTCGCTTCCATGGCTCTGAATAATCTATCATTTCATAAACAACTTTGTTTCTCTATCAACAGTCAACAGTTCATAGGTCCTTGGTGAGTTTAGGAAATCTGCATATAGTCTTAAAGAGTTTACAGGTAACTGCATATGAAATAAAAGCTAATTATTCTACCCCTTTATTTTCTAGAGTGTGCGCTTAGTTCAACTTTATTTTAATAGACTTTATCTGACATTTAAAGTACTATAGATACTTGTAAAATCATCGACAAATAATCAAGATGTGTGCAAAAAACATTTATTGTCATGATTTGTCTATTGGTATGACTTATCACAACTAAGTAAGACATACAATCGATAAGCCATAGGAATTATTTCAATGAAGAAATACAGACGGAGAGAAAAGAGCATTTTAAGAGGAGTTGCTTCATTTATCTGTGAGTCTTAAAGAATAGAAGACAATAACAACAACAACAAGAGGTAAGTGTTGAATAACGAGATTGATTTCGGTGATTGATCTTTATTTCATTCATATCTCATTTAAATTTTGACCCCACCAAGCAGACCGTGTTTCCATCTCTCTGTACAACGCTGTAGTCTCAATGAGAAGTATGGGTAAACACATTCTCTGAGTCGCGATTATTAATGAGTTTTCTCATGCCTCACAAGTACAATAAATCCACATTCAATCGACTCCACACAACGTTACTGATGCATCGATATTCTCCTCTCTTGATTTCGTTACGTACTCAATTAAACGTATGAAGAGCTGTCATTTACTATAAATGGGACTGAGCGCTTCGACAGGTTTACATTCAGAAGAACTTCATCGAACACCTTTTCTATTCGATGTAACTGTTGTTATTTTACTCATTAATGCTCTTAAAGATCAATCCATCATTCAAATTGTATCATAAAATGGAGTATATTTCCTTCCGTTCTTAAGAAGAGACACGAGTAAATTCACAAGTATGTAAGCAATTACAGCAAAAGATTTTCTTTTTCGACTTTTTGCCTGTTCAATGATTAGAACTTGAAATGAAAACATCTTTAACCAAAAAAATGGGGACTTGAATATGAAATTGTGGGAGATTTATACCGTTCTTGAGGAACATTTCAGTGTACTTATGGATACTCAGCCAAAAAAAAGCAGGTAAGTCTCTGATAATTTTTTCACATAACCCATTTTGTACGACAGGTTAAGCTGATTGTTTCGATCAACAAAAGCATTTTCTTGATTCCTCGAAAAATGACGATGCTAGGTTCAAAATACTGCACAACATCGAATTAGTCTAGCATTCTAAAGATACATATAGCGAACATGCCCAGCTTGGTGTTCTCCAGTATTTCGAACCTAGCATTGCCACTTTCGAATCAATTACGGAAAACTTCTTTTACAAATATGATGCACCTAAAAGGTTGTATAAAATGTGTTATATCAAAAACCTTTCAGAGGTCTACCTGATTTTTTGACTGAGTATTCATAACAAAACAAAGAGAGGTTCTCAATGAATATTGTAGATGTCCCACAATTTCATATGAAAGTCTGAATCTTTTTCTCGTCATAGATATTTTCTGTTCACTTCCTATCTGACCAGCATGGAAAAAGTCGAAAAGAAAAGTTTCTCCCTAAAGTAGCTAGTCACACATAGATTTATCCAGAGTGCACATAAGCGCAAGAAACGAGCATTATCCTATATCAATTTTTGAAGGTGTTATCAAGAGCTTGATTGTATGATGGTCGAACAGTTACAAAGTATCATTTAGGAATCAAAGAAATTCAGAACGTGCCGATTTTGACTCAACAGCAAAATTAGTACTTTCAAGAAGCCCACGTGATACGCAATATAGTATATATATTGAATCATACTAACATCTTATTTTTTGTGTCGTTTTACTAAGTGTCACGATATGAAAACAGGTAAATATCAAGACATGGCTGTCATTATTTAAGAAAAAACATGTTATAGAAAAAGCGATGGCAAGTGTCCAGCAAAATATAGAAACGAAACAGCTTGACGTCGCCAGTCGCCGACTTATCAAAAAAATTGATAAACGTATTATACCTTTTTTGGCACTCCTGGAGCTATCATCGTTCAGTTGTCAAATGATCCTAAGTCTTTTCGCATATATTTCTATGATCTTTTTTTAAGACTTTCAATTTATTCAGGTCATGTTCGATTGACTACGTTCAACAAAGATCTCAACTTAACCACAACAGAACAAAACTTTGCAATCTCGTCCTTTTACATCGCCTATGTGAGCTTGTTTCTAGCCTATGAAGTTTGCAATGACTTAAGGATGTATTAACTAGTTCGAATCATCCATGAAGAGGAAATTTCTTAGAAGCAACAAGATCGATAGATTGATATTGACGAAAAATTCTTCCTTGATATTCCCTAGTCTCCTCTCTACTTATTCATATCAAGCAACATTTGTTCCAAAACATAATTTTCACCATAACACTTTCTAGTAGTCATTTATATGAAGGAAATCATACCAAAACAGACAAGTAACAACGACTAGACCAGTGCAATTCATCGGCAGCTAATGTTACATAGTTAATCGTAAGGACAGAAAAACACGATTTCTACCACGAGTAATTACACTACTCTTTTACTATGGTTCTACCAACAACAGATAAAATCGGTTTCAACAAACAGGATGAGTAATTGCTCATGGTTTTCGATGCAGCAGCATCCTATCCAATCCATACATCTCTAGTTATATTACCTGTGCTAAATAACCTTTTTTCGATTGGATAGAAGACAGAGATAGTGGTAATTTAAAGAGATAATGAACACATATTAGAGTAACAAGAAAGCAAAAGCAACAAAAATGGTACTTGACGACAAGTTGTACAGACAGGGCACACAATGTACAACCGTCAGAAATAGGAATGGTACTTTCACTTTAAAAACATTTTATTAAAGTAGCTAATCTTAGTATCACTTTAAACATTTAATTTTGAGAAAATCAAAGTTAAAGTAGATATGTTGAGGATGTTTTCTACTCTTATACAGACAAAATAAACTTTTGTTCGAGTCATATGAGAGAGATCTCCTGTGAACCTGTAGATCCACCTGAATAAGATCATGCTTTGTCTATATAATTGTGAAGAAAAATCTTATTAAAGTCTAATTAGCTAATCTTTGTTTCTATCAGATAATTAAATTGCAACAAGGGTTTTCTCATCATTGGACGAACGAAGCATTGTATTGTTCGGATTAATCTAGAGATTCGGGAGGATTCTGTCGTATATGGTTAAAAAAAGCATGTTTTTTTTCGAAGAATAATGTAAAAACTCTGGCTGCACTCCGATTGTGTGATACAAAAATTTGCTAGTCAATTATACTGAAATGAGTTTTATCTCCACTCTTGTGCAGACAAAACATACTGTTGAGCTCGAACCCATCTACTAGTGACAAAAGACCTTCTCCTAACTGGCTGTGAACGGTACTTTCCCTTCTCTAGTTAAGACAGAAATCAAGGATGATTTTCGAGTATACTCTCCATGTATCTATTTTTAATTTTGATATTCTTAAAACTAAAGGTTTAAAACTAAGTTAAAATGCCACCACTAGTCAGAAGTAATAGTTTTTAGATCGTTACAAGCCATGGATTGAACCACTCTACACATCAGTTAGACCATTAAGTCAGGAGCGCAAATAACAGCGAAGATTTCCCCGCCCAAATGCTTATAGTCCGATTTCACCAATGTCAGATATTTCACTCAACTAAGGTTCGCGATATCGCCTTCTTGTTGGGTTCTTCTATGAATTGTAATCAAATGATATGGTCTTTAATAGCTCACTTCCGTCTGCTGATCATTCGAGATGTACAAACAACAGTTATCATTCTAACTACCAATTTAAACACCTTTCAATCACGTTTTACAATAACCTTAAAAGATGACACTGAAAAATGCATTGCTTCGTGTTGATATTTGCTGTCATTTCCTTGTTTCTTTTTGTTTATGGATTAGAATCGATTGTAGATAAGAGGGCGATGAGGAAACTCCGAATATCAATTGAACAAAACAGGAGTAAATGCATCGAAATATCATTGATATACGTTATTGCTAGTGACTGCTAGCATCAAACATCGACTTTTCCACTTATGTTGCCCTCCATATTGAATGTTTTGACCTTCTTTGTAGTAGTTTTATCTTTGACTGTAGTTGTAGATGACCAAACTTGTTTAGTATCTGACAAAAACGGATGTGTTTTCTAGAATATGTTTCTGTTGAATCCAGTCCGAGAAGCAGTGTTTTTCTTTTTTAAAGAAGTAGTATTCGCGAGATATTAATTTAATTTAATCTTTATGTATATTACACATATATATTAGGAATTTTCAATTTTTTCATTTCTATGAGCAATCATCGTCATTGAATTATAGAATCATCGAAATTCTCAAATCCTGAAAAATAAACCGATATATATAAACTAGACCACTATCATGAGAAAAACAAACATCAAATTTTTATTTTAATTGATCTATAACAAAACTGATGTTTCTAGATCGAATTAATTTTAACAGAAGCGAAACATCATAGGACAAAGTAAGAAATCTAACTAATAACAATCATAATAACATGACTATAATCATGATAGCAATCATATAATGACACTCATATTACTATAGTCTTGTTCATTGTAAGAAGCATACCTAACTAGTTGTATTTCTATCTTCTAGAATACTGCCAATAGTCTTTTATTAAAGAAAATAAGAGTTAACATTTAAAGTTTTTACTCAAGTCATTAAAATAAAACTGCTTCATGTAAGTATCATATAGAGAAACTTTAGCTTGGCATTTATACTGATTAAGAAAAGGCAATTGGTGATATTTTAGAAAGAATTCAAGCGGTTGGACATATTTTTTTCCATGAATAAGATTAATCTTATTTGAATGTCAGTAAACAATTTTGTCATGATTATAATTATGAAGTTGTAGTTAAGATTGTTACTAATTCCATTGATTATTGTGATCGATGATGTTTTAATTCGGTTTGGAATAATATGAATTAAAACGACTATCTTTGAGGTAGATGAATATTAAATGAACGTTTGTTGTTTGTTTTTCTCATGATAATGGTCTAGTTTATGTATTTGGACTTATGTTCCAAGATTGGATAACTTAGATGCTTGTATAATTAGCTAACGATGACCGTTCATAGAATTCAAAAGGTCAAAAATTTCTTACATTTATAAATTAAATGAAAATAAAATAAAATAATTTCTTCTGCATACTATTTCTTTAAAAAATAAAAAAAACTACTTTTTGTTAATGACTATAAGTTTCAAGTTGAAATTTATTTATATTTCTACAGAAATGGCAATGTTTACTTACTTTCCATTCAATTTTATCTATAAGTCAAGGCACGTATACACACATATTTTTAACTTGTTTATAAATAAGCATGATCCAAAGCAAATTCGTCTACACACTTTCAAAATAGATTTCTCCACCATATCTGTTTTTCTTTGATATTCGTCCGATAGGTGCTCTTTGGGATTCCAAGCTTTCTTCTCTTACGATACCTCGGTACTGCACGTTATTTATCGCTGAGCATGATTGCGTGGGGATCGATTATGATTGCTATGGCCTTTGTAAAATATGCATGGCAATTACTTGCCCTTCGCTTTCTTCTCGTAAGCAATTCAGTCAAAGAATAATGAAGACGTATAGTCTGACTTTTTTTTTGTTTAAGGGAACGGTCGTTGGTGCTTTTTTTCCAGGAATTATCATTTATCTTTCTTTGTGGTATCGAAAACAAGAGCAAACTATGCGCATATGTATTTTCTTTGGTGGTGCCATTATTGCTGGTGCTTTCGGAGCTATAATTGTAAGTATCCATATTTTGATGATTTTAAATTTCTTGAACTATTTTTAACATCAGATATTACTTTTTTGGCGTGTCGTCAGGTCATATCAGCGATTTAGTTAACGTTTTTTTTTTATCTTGTAGTCTTACGCTGTTGTTCGAATCAAAATAAGTGACAAACTCCATGATTGGCAATGGATATTTTTGCTAGAAGGTATCCCCATCATTCCGCTCGGTATTGTTACCTATCTCTTTCTTAGCAACATACCCGAAACTGTACAATGTAAGATTTATCATAGAAGAATAGAAAAATGCCTAAAACTTTTCAAAAATCAGGGTTGAATAATTGTGAAAAAGACATCTTGGCATTCATCCTCCGAAATGATGCGAGTATTGGTAGCGATGAGCCAAAATCGAATACTCGACTTTCATGGCGACAAGTGCAATATACGTTTACCGATCAGCGAATCTATCTGTATTTCATAATTGCTGCTGGAACCCTGGGCGCTATCAAATGTCTAACATTGATTCATCCATCTTTGATTCATGGTCTAACGGACTCAAATGAACTAACCCATTTACTAACAGCACCACCATATGTTATGGCTTGTCTATGCTGTTGCTGGGGTGGTTTTTCATCGTCACGTCTCAACGAGCACGGATTTCATATTGCTAGCTTTCTATTAGTAGGTATACTCGGTTTTATTTTTATGATAATTTTACCAGATGAAAGCAAAGTGGAAAGATATGCCAGTAACTGTATTGCCTTCTGTGGCTTATACCCGTCCTTCCCACTTGCACTAGCTTGGTTGACGAAAAATATAGGTGGTCACACGAAAAGAGCACTTGCTATCTGCTACTTTATGGCTAGTTCTCAGCTTGGAGGTGCAATGTCATTTCAAGTGAGTATTGTAAATTTGAATCCATTCTTGCAATTATTACAAAAACGAGTAATTAAATATATTGTATAGATATACCGTGAAGCCGACAAGCCATCTTATCGACGAGGACATTTACTGTGTGGTGGAGCCGCGATAATGGCTTTGATAGCCACTCTGATTCTGCGCTATTGTTTAATAAGAGAAAACTATCGTCGAGCTCATTTATCAGCTGATGAATATCATCGAGAAGCAACCATTGAAGAACCATGCGATTGGGTATGTAGTTTGAACACTCAAAAACAATTTTCTTTTAAATATCGTTTCTAGCATCCGGATATTCGATATGTATTATGAAACAAGGTATTTATTAAGACATTCTATGGCATTCTCAATAATTAAGCATACCAAAATAGAACTTAAATTTGCTTGTCAACAAATTATGTTTCTCTCATTGAATAAAAACCGGATGATACTGATGTAAGAACCAGTTCATATAAGGGACATCTGATCTCTAAAAGTGCTTAATCGAGAATCACAGAGTGTATGGATGTGTGTGACTGTGTCTGTGTAGATGCTAGTGTGTGTTTGTAGATATGATATGAAAGTGCCGGTGTCAGTAAAGAGAAAACTCTCATTTGCCTTCATTCACCTTAGTTACGCAAACGCACACCCTGATTCTGTTTTGAATAGAGTATCTGAAGCAATGTCAGTTTTCGAGGCATCAATTGTATGTATACCATGTGAGAAAATAATGCAAAGTACGGGCGTCAAGCGGAAAAGGCAAGACTTCAGTACTTCACTCATACTTCAGAGTACAGAAGTCTCGCTTTTTCCCTTCTCGATGGACATTTGACTGCTTGTTTTAACTTGCGCTCACCGTCAAATTATCGTTTCATCCAGTCTCTCGACCAACAGCGTTCACGAGTATGTTACATTTATAATGTCGGATTATGAATATGATGTAAAAATCAAAATCAACATTCTGGACACTGATCAACAACTTAGTGAAGGAGACAGCTCCCGAATGAGGAAACGATCAACCGACATTTAAACCTTTTATAAGTAAACCTGGAACATTTATCATGTCAATCATAGATTTCTTTTTACTACATATTCTCCTTTACATCATACGATGTGTGATAATCAATGCTAGAAAACAGATTGAACAACTTCAAACACTC